AAATCATTTCACTAAGTTTTATATCAAAAACCAACAAATAACATTAGCAGCACTATGCACGTTACAATAATAACATTAAACATGATGGCCAGATTTTAAACAAACTAAAAAAAAAAAAAGTTTTATAAAGCAATAAACCTCACATTTCAGCCTTTAAATCATTTTATAAGAAAAGGAAGAGTCAAAATTATAAATGATAGGCATTGTATCTGCTCCATTAACAATTCTACACAGGCTACCATATTATTTGAAGTGTTGAGATTTTTAGAATGCACATTAGCTTGATTTAGTTAAATTTTTTTGTATTTGTCTGAACAAAAATGGCATACAAGTTGAATGAAAATGTAATTCCACTGTCTGACAGCAGGTGGCGCTTAAGCAACCACTGTAAACAGAGCAGAGCTGCGCTTTTAAACGCTATTTTATCTGGCATTACACGGGGGGAAGATGAAAAGCAAACGCCTGGGAAACTTTTCTGAAGACAGCCGGTTCCTCCTTATGCATTCAGAGAATTCATACAATCATTCATTCATATAATTTCTCTCAGCACTCTGCCTTCCATCATGTTTTCACACGAAACCAAACCTATGCTCCATGTTGCGCCTGATGCTGAGCAGTATTTACCATGCATTTTTCTTTAAATTAAATTAAATATGCTTTTAATGATGATTATAATATGAAACACTAACACTAACCGTCACGACTTTTTATTGTGCTTTATCATCAAAATAGTAATGCATACTTCAGGTGTGCCCACATACAAAAACGATCTGTCATCGTGTGAGTACCGCATTGAGCTCTCTTTCACAGCATCTTGCGCTTGAATGGCTTGAAATCACTTGAATGTTTAAAATGACAAACCTTAGACACATGATGTCGATGAAAATGATCAACTTTGTGGAGGAAGCAGCACTGGTCTGATTGTTCAGATATGTAGGTGATCATAGTTTTAGGGGGACTGAGATGACAGACCTAAAAAGGAACTACAGTAATAGCACGGATAAAACAACCGTTTAGGCACTTTGAGTGCTTTGAGAAAGCATCACAAGCGTCTTGTATCTGTCATGCCCTCTGACTGTGCAAGCTTTTCCCTTTAAACCAAATGTTTGTATGGACAAAACACGATAATGTACACAGACACTGTCCACACAGATTCGGCTGAAAACAGCACAGCATATTCCTCAAGAGGGAGAATGAATGTGTGAAGACGTGAGATTTTTTTTCTCACCACCCACCACCAAACGCATCCTGGTTTTTTCACATGAATCAGAAAATTTGAGTGTGTCCCCTCATTACATGCATTTGATCTGCAGCATTATGAAGGTCCTCTCCTCTGACGTCGACACGTTTGGCATTTGTCCACGGTTCTCCTTCACCATTCCATTCCCTCCTACAAGAAAACATAATGAACCGCTGGAGATCAGCTGTCCCGCGAGTCCTCCGTTAGGCCTCTGTAGATACACAGCTCTGCTCATTACTGCTGAAGTGCTTCGGCGCCGGTTAACGGGAGGCAGCACACTACGCCGATTTCACTCCCCTGTGTCCTAGAGGGGCAATTACTGGCCGCTGTTTCCGCATGGCGCCGCTGGAGAAGGTGAGCCCTTTCAAGCAGTTATGTATGCCCTGATGGTTTAATTCTGTGCACTGAAGCCATATGTAGACCTTTCAAACCAAAACTGTCAGAGAACGTAGAGGTCCCGCATGGGGCATGGTTCTGTTATAGATCTTCCCTTATTGTTTTTCACAGAGACTGTGAAGCACAAAGACTCCTAAATCCCACCACCCACGACTCCAACAAGGACGCCGCAGGCTCAAGGTCTGGCTGGTTAGCACGTCCAGTCAGCTCCTGCTGCTACATGCAGTAACTACAGCATCATGGAGACAGTGGCGGTTCTAGACCACAGCTGCTGGGGGCACACATTTACCTGATGAGTAACAGCAACTCTTACTGAGGTCCTCAGATGGGCTCTAGTTTCACTTTCAAATTAACTACTAATCCTAGAGATTCACACACTTTTGCCATTCACAGATATGTAATACTGGATAATTTTCTTGAAAAAAAAATTACAAAGTATATATTTTTGTATAATTTGTTTGATTGGATTTGTCTACTTTCAGGACTTGTGTGAAAATCTCTGGGTCTCTTGGGTCATACTTATGCAGAAATATAGAAAATTCTGAAGGGTTCACAGACCTTCAAGCAGCACTATGTGAGTGCACACATACACACACACACACACACACACACACACACACATATATATATATACTACTGTGCAAAAGTCTTAGACCACTTGTTTTCACCAACAACAAAAAATGGTTTTAAGTCAGTTATTTCTATCTTTTGCTGTAGTGTGTCAGCAGGTCTCTTCAGGCGTCTTGGAGATGTTGGCACAGTTCTTCTGGATTTAGACTGTCTCAGTTTTTCCTGATTCTTCATGTAATCACAGATGGACTGGATGATGATCAGATCAGAGCTCTGTGTGCAGCACTGGCTGCTGTCAGAAAAAAACACACACACACACACACACACACACACACACACACACACACACACACACACACACACACACACACACACACACACACACACACACACACACATACATACATACAATGAATGAATGGCTTGGACATAATTCTTCATGTTTCTCATATACCTTTGGCTGCATTACAATGTTTTCTAATTCAAAATTATGATCAAACGTTGCACATTTGGATGCATTCAGAGAAATTAACTATTGGAACATTTTAACTTGCTCAGTTTAATGAAATATATGAAAATATAATGAAAAATAAGATTTTAAATTTTGCTGAATGAATTCAATCTGATCTTCCAATGTTGGTTAAGTGAAACCACACAACTTGTATGAAGAGAGTTTATTTTATGCATTATCAGGTGTGTTGCAGCCATTATAGTAAGTGTTTTAAAACTCTTTGGATGAATGCAGACAGAATCATCATGACTCACTTCTTGAGGTTTCTCTTCTCTGCATTGGTATTTGAGCAATTTCATATATGCAGAGTTGAAAAGATGACTGCACAATACTCTTTTCATCAATACTGGCACAGGACAAACTGCATCCAGTTTCAGAAAATTGTTTGTTGCGATACAAATCCAGAGGGGGATTGTAGCACTCCCATGACAGCCCTTCAGAAGAGCAGTACTTCATAAACATGGCCCATGAGCAAAGATGGCAGCAAACAGGTCATGTACTGCATCAGCCGAGCAACTGCCATTGAGATGAAAGGGAATTCTAACGGATGGAGAACTCCAGGCATTACAGACATGTTTTATGTAAAGCATCCCATATATCTCTTTAAAAGGCATCCGTTGGCACACACAGACAAAAGAAAGTACACAAACTTGGTGTTTCATATGCTGAGATACCAAGGTAAGTAAACCGCACAAGCTTTGATTCATCAGCTCTGACTCCTGTCGGAGCTTCAAAAGATCTCCATATGCAGCAGCAGATGGCTGGACACTTTTGTCAGCAGAGATATGCAAAGACGCGTGTGCGCAGCAGGTTCTTGGCCAGCTCACATACGGCCCGTGGGCAGGTGTAGAGCGCCGCTAAGCCTCTCACGCACTGAAGAACTGGGATCAGAACAGCGACGAGCAGCTTCCCGCTCCACTGTCTCCATCGCTGACGGTCACGCTCATGTACAAGCATCAACAGCAAACCACAAGTGTGCTCCTTCAACTCATAAGAAAATAAGGAATGACTGATATTAGAAAGAGATATGAATAGCCAAATAAGCCAGGAAAGAGAACTGAATTCAGCTCGCATGCTGATGGCTGGTTTTGTCTTTAGTGAACATAAATATTTGGGAAAGGAATCTGACGTGAGTCAGTATATTAGACCAGCGCATTAGGTCTTAAAGTGACAGCAGCCTAATAAACTTGCTGTTGTCTGTGCTGTTCTTTATGCAGTGGTTTAATTCCGGTCCTGGTGCCTACCTCTCTTTTTTATGTTTCTTTTATCTAACAAACCTGATTCAGATCATCAGCTCATTAGCAGAGAGAGAGAGATCAATGAACTGAGCTGCATTCTGATTGAAAGGGTCCCTACGCAGTGTTCACTGCTCCCTATTCCCTGAGCAGGAGATGAATTCAGGTAAATTGGGACACTTTGGAATGACTGGGAAAAATGTCCCAATTAACCTGAATTGACCCCTACACATAATACCTGAATTATTGCATCAGATAAAATACACATCAAATATAACCAAATTATGTTTATTTTCATTGTACTAAACATCATAACTGATATTTGTCACGCAGGTTTGCACTGAAGGTGATCTGATACTGACAATTAAAGAACACAGATACAGCTCTACAAAAACTCTATGGAAAATAATGGAGCGAAAACAGTCTATAACGCGTCTGAAATGTAAGTCAGTTAATATTATCTACTTGTTTATTGAACTACTGTTGTATAAAATCAATGTCAGGTTTGCAATCGTGCTGATAGTCGGGAAAACAGCCTAATAAACTTGCTGTTGTCTGTGCTGTTCTTTATGCAGTGGTTTAATTCCGGTCCTGGTGCCTACCTCTCTTTTTTATGTTTCTTTTATCTAACAAACCTGATTCAGATCATCAGCTCATTAGCAGAGAGAGAGAGATCAATGAACTGAGCTGCATTCTGATTGAAAGGGTCCCTACGCAGTGTTCACTGCTCCCTATTCCCTGAGCAGGAGATGAATTCAGGTAAATTGGGACACTTTGGAATGACTGGGAAAAATGTCCCAATTAACCTGAATTGACCCCTACACATAATACCTGAATTATTGCATCAGATAAAATACACATCAAATATAACCAAATTATGTTTATTTTCATTGTACTAAACATCATAACTGATATTTGTCACGCAGGTTTGCACTGAAGGTGATCTGATACTGACAATTAAAGAACACAGATACAGCTCTACAAAAACTCTATGGAAAATAATGGAGCGAAAACAGTCTATAACGCGTCTGAAATGTAAGTCAGTTCATATTATCTACTTGTTTATTGAACTACTGTTGTATAAAATCAATGTCAGGTTTGCAATTGTGCTGATAGTCGGGAAAACATGACTCTTGGTCATGTGAGGTTGCTTACCTATATCATATGTTATCTAGAATACTGATCTTTTTTTTCTACTGCAGTCTGTATGTTCATGTTTGTTTCTTTGTGTGTGCTGTTGCTCTTATTAGTTTTAATTTCTCCTCGAGTCAGACAGGCTGCGTGAGTCAATACATCATCCGTTATCAGCAGTGTTGTTGGTAACGCATTACAAGTAATGCGAGTTATGTAATCAGATTACTTTTTTCAAGTAACTAGTAAAGTAACGCATTACTTTTTAATTTACAAGAGAATATCTGAATTACTTTTTCAAATAAGTAACGCAAGTTACTTTTTCTCCAATTTATTGACTGACGGCTCTCCTGTCATCTCCTGTAACATCAGATGTTACTGTAGCTCTAAAATAAATATGAATACGCATTAATTCATCTCACTCGCACAAAACACACTATTCAGTATTCCTCAAAATGAATAAAAAACATGCAACTCAGAATATGACGCAAACCCTGCAATAATTAATGTTAAACAACACAAGTAACTAGTAAAGTAACGCATTACTTTTTAATTTACAAGAGAATATCTGAATTACTTTTTCAAATAAGTAACGCAAGTTACTTTTTCTCCAATTTATTGACTGACGGCTCTCCTGTCATCTCCTGTAACATCAGATGTTACTGTAGTTCTAAAATAAATATGAATACGCATTAATTCATCTCACTCGCACAAAACACACATATTCAGTATTCCTCAAAATGAATAAAAATGATGCAACTCAGAATATGACGCAAACCTGCAATAATTAAATGTTAAACAACACAAATATGCTTTATGTATTTAATCCCATTCTATTAGCTTCTGAGCTTCGATGATGCAGTTCAAGCGTACTAATAAGCACTAATTACTCTAGACAAACATTTGTGTCTTTTTTTATTGCTGAAGTGTGTTGAAATGTCGTCTTCTGCATTCTACTGTACGGACGTGAATTTACTTTCCCTTCAGCCTGAGGCGCGTTTATTTCACTTTTGGTGTGAAAAGGCTTTTATATTTGCCGAAAATATAACTTTTTTATTTTAAAAACAAACAAGCAAGCCCTGTCCAGATTTAAAAAGATTAAAAAACGCAAAAGTAACGTAACGCATTACTTTCCATAAAAAGTAACTAAGTAACGTAATTAGTTACTTGTTTTATGGAGTAACGCAATATTGTAATGCATTACTTTTAAAAGTAACTTTCCCCAGCACTGGTTATCAGTCACCGTTTACACTGAAAGTAATTAAATTATTGCCAAAGTTTCGGTGCCATAGCTATTGTTTGTTATCGATGTTTTAATCATGTTACTTGTCCAGTCGGGCAAGTACAATTCTCTTTCACTTGCCCCTTCACAAAATCAACACAAGCTCTGCATATGCAATCAGATCAGCCACAAAAATAACTATCCACACCTTTTCATCACTAATTTTTCACTGTGTGTCTTTAGTAAATCCTGACAATAGTTTTTTTATGCCGATATGATAATAATTGTCTTAATATTTATATAGATGCACTAGTAAATGCACGTGTATTAAACAGATGGATGGGGATTTACATTGTATTTATTTACAGAAGAATATGTCCGCACTCCTCAAACTTCTCTCATATTCGCTGCTGTTTCGTCTGTGCATGATGTTGTTGCAGGGTGTTCTCAAAAACACATTTTGCCAAGCAATACCATGAAAAACGTACAGCACTGTTTATTTCATTTATATAATTCCTTGAGCCTTTCATTACTTTTATTAGACGAGCAGAGATCACTGCAGACCACTGTCTTCATGCTCACTGCTTGATTCTGCTTGATGAAGAAGGTTGATGATTCAAGCAACCCATAGAGCAGACTGCCCTTGATGAGAGACACCGTACTAATAAGCACAAATTACTCTAGACAAACATCTGTGTGTCTTTGTTTATTGCTGAAGTGTGTTGAAATGTCGTCTTCTGCATTCTACTGTACGGACGTGGTGTGTGTGTGTGTGTGTGTGTGTGTGTGTGTGTGAGAGAGAAAGAGTGAGAGAGAAGTGACGCACGGTAATGTTACCTACTGTATCAGGAGTAAACTGTGTGCTTCAGATAGTTAGCAGTAAACATGTAGCCTCATCTGAATGTGTGTTGAATGTCTTTGCAGTCCAAAGATAAAGATGCTTTCTATGTCAGAGGAAACATCTGAATATTTTCTGCTTATTTCTGTTAATCTCGTACAGTGTCCTGAGACAGGGTGAAGACGTCTGTGTGCCGTTTGAAGGAACTGACAGAACTAATCAGTCCAGAGAGTCATTTAGTGCTTCCCAAAAACTATTTTGATTATTTTAGTGGTACTGCCACCCACCACTGCACATAACTCGCAGTGAGAAACTGGATTGTTTGGTGCATCGCTAATTCAATATTAATTTAATATGTCATGTGTTTTGTTCCAGAACTCAAAAACGTATTTAAAAAATTTAGTATGCACAACATTAACCAGCTTCAAGTGGCATCTACTTGCAATACGAAGGAAACATTATACATATCAATTACTGCCAGATTCACAAGGTTCAACTCATCAGCTTGATACACAATCCTGTCCGCTGGAAACGGATGAGAAAATTACACAGCAGGTCTGATATCATGATCTGACACGAGTGTGATACGCTCAGCTGCTTAATGCTCCAGCACTCTCATATCTCTCATTTCTAAATGGACTGAGGAGTAATTCAGTTAAAGATAGCATATGCTGATATCATTTATTCACCCTCATGTCAAGTCACCTTTATTTATATAGGTGGCACATTTAGAAAGACAAAGACAAAGTGTCATTATTCAGCTCAAGTTTTTCAAGTGTTGATTCATTTCAGTTCAATAACTGTGTACATTTCATCAATTATGAAATGAGTTCAGTTCAGCAATAAAGCAGCTCTGCAGAAGAAAACAGAGCCATTATTCAGCTCAGCTCAGCTTGTTCTGTTCTAATAGTGTGAATGCAGTCAACTGAATATTAAGTGTCTTTAAAACCCCCAACTAAGCCAGCCACAGTTCTCCTCTGGCCAAAGCAAACAAGCACGGTGTGATTTATGACTCCAGGCTGGATTTGTGACGTCATTCAAACCGGCATGCTATTATTTTTTTCAGTAAAAATGAGAAAACTATGAAAGATCTTTAGTCAAGGAGTAATCAGTATTTTCAGATTTAAATTCGATCAATCTGCCTTTTTCTGAAGCTGACTTGGTTATGACCAGTTTTTTTTTTACTTATATTTTCCATTTGTTTTAGTAGAACACGGGAATATATATATATATATGAATATACAATTACATTTGTTTTGTCTGTTCTTATTTTATCACTGACTGCATACCTGTCTTTGATCATGTTTGAACATTATATTAGTTAGGCTACCTTAACTAGTGTTTACTGTGGGAATCAATTGTAATATTGGAATACAATCACAGTGACAACCTAATTTATTAGAATACAAGGTTACTCTGGTAAAAAAAAAAACAATGAAACAATAACTATTCATTCATTCATTGTTTATTTTTTTGTAACAGGGCCTGTGATAATTTTGGCAGGCTAAGTTAAAAAAACTGAAGCACTGGCCCAACCCAGACAATCCTTGACATCGAGCCCTGTGCTGTCATTATGACATGATGCTGTACTGAAAACAGCTGCATGAAGGTTCCTCAGAATCTATCCTTTTTACAAGAAAGAAAATCATTCCAATTGGAAACAAAGTTAGATAAGGGATGATTTGAGATGCGCCAAAAAGTGCTGGTCATCTCAGGCTGGCATGATCGAAATGAAGAAGCAGGATAGTGTGGAGAAACAGAAAATAATGAGGAACATCCACCATTATTTACCAGAACAATGTGTCTCATCCGCTGCTGCGCCATGCTTCTCATAGCAGCTGAATCACAGATGCGTTCTGATGGCCTCGCTGAATTATACTATCCACTTTACCCTGCACAGTACTGTACCGCCTGTGTTCTGCTGGAGACGTGCACTTTTAAAGCCAACGGGTTTGTGAATGAATTTCACCTCTGTAAGATCTCTGCAGTGCTGTCACAAGCAAAGCTCTGAGAGACAGAGACAAGGCCTGAAACACAGCGTGGGATTGTTGGTGTCGTGCACTTTAATCATTTTCGCAAGTTCTGCATGCTGGAAAGTTCCACACATGTATTCACTGTAACGAATGTGTGAGAATGGATCCACTCTAGATTTTAGTCTAGAGCTGCAATCATGAATCAGGCCTGTTCTGCACCCTTGCACAGCAAGCATTTTATTATTTTATCTGTATTTTTTAAAATTTGTGTAAAGATGCATATTTTTAGGATGCGCCTTTATTTTGAAACTCTCATGCAAGCCATTTCCATGCATCTGCCTCGAACTGTACATCAAGCTCTAGGTGCTGCAACGACCTGGCACTACGAGCAGTAGCAGCACTGTGCAATATCACTCTGCTTTTTTAGAAGAAAGGATGGATAGACGGACAAAATCGATGTCATTTGCAAAGAACGGCAGTATGAATTCAAATACTTCATACCTTCGATATGACAACACTGTCAGGACACCTGAAAAGGAAACATGGTGTTGACGTCAGGGCTAGTACTTACAATTCATTAATGAACTGTGCCATTGTGTGATGCATGTGTTCGTGGGAATCAAAGCCACAGCCTCTTGTGTCTGCAGTGCAGTGCTCCACCGCTGCAGCTGCTCTGCCCTACATGAGCTGCAGATTAGTGAGACCCTGCTATGAAACATCATGTGACCAAAGCTGGAGGACAGCCCAAACCCAGCAGCATTTCAGCCGGGCAGCACGACCACAGCTGATGGAGAATTCACCAGTGTAATAAAACTGAGATCAAACAAAAAGAACCGCTGCGCCTGGTTATGCAACCCCGCGCCCCTGAAAATGTCAAACGCAGACTTTCTGTGGATGTCATGCAGCAGGGGGTCTGAGGAGCCTTGCACCTGGGGTGCATAAAAAAGTGACTGCGACGCATTCTGACATACTCATAA